ATAGGATACGTGTTTTAGGATGCCTCTTGTAGTCACGTCGTATGAAGCATGATGAAAAATAGCTTCTTCCCCAGCTGTACTGTTCAGTGGGCTGCTGAGATTTCCAAAATCTTGTTTCCAGTTACGGCTGTTTTTACACATGCAGATAGCAGGGGAATACTTTCATGATAGAATCGTGTTTGTATTTTGACTTCTGGCTTAGTAAAGTATATATATATATATATATTCCAACAGAACTGCAGGAAAACTATTTTACACATGTTAAAGGGCTATAATAATTCCCATTAATGTTTTACAAATATTAGCACTTTCTTAACTATTTATATATTTTAAAATGTTACACAGACAGAATAATCGCCTTGCTTTTAGCATCTTTTCCGATTTCTCCTGCAAATGTAGCAGGAATATTACATTTATTCTACTTCCTGTATAAAATTATGCAGAATTTTTTTAAAAAAATAAAATAAAATAAAATGTAATATATTTTATAAGCTAATCATAATTGGGTAAATAAAGGTTTTTAGTATGTCTTCCTATCATTTGCGGATACTGAAAATTTTGGTAATCTTTCTCACAAAGGATGTAAATGTTTTAATCTTCCTTTACCGTTTCTTCTTTCTTGGTAATGGGATGGGGATTCAGTGATGACATTTTGTCATATCAAACTGTGAATATAAATTTGTACTGTACGGTCCTCATATGTTTTATATATAGTATACAAAAATGTATAAAACTTCTTAATAAAATAAGGCATATAATAAATGTCAGTATGTAAATAACACTCCCTGCAAAGTTGTATTTTAAAAAGGAAAAGAAGATGAAAGTAATAATAATAATAATAATAATAATAATAATAATAATAAGAAGAAGAAGAAGAAGAAGAAGAAGAATAAGAAGAAGAAGAAGAAGAAGAAGAAGAAGAAGAAGAAGAAGAAGAAGAAGAAGACGACTTTAGCACAGAAGGGATATTTAGAGTAGATCCATTCAATTTAAGAGAGCTTAATTACAGATAGTCCTCAATTTATGACCACAATTGCTCCCAAAATTTCTGTTGCTAATTTGAGACATTTGTTAAGTCAGTTTTCCCCCATTTTACGACCTTTTTCGCCACGGTTCTTAAGTGAATCACCGCAGTTGATAAGTTACTAACCCAGTTGGTTAAGTGAATCTGGGTTCCCCATTGACTTTGCTGATCAAAAGTTTCCAAAAAAAAGATCACGTGATCCCAGGGACTGCCACTAAGAAAATGGGATCAAATTATTCTCCAAAACACCAGAAGGCAAGACAAGAAAGAATGGTTGGAAACTTATCAAAGAGAGAAGCAACCTGGAATTAAGGAGAAACTTCCTAACAGTGAGGACAATTAACCAGTGGAACAGTTTGCCGTCAGAAATCGTGAAGAAGAGACTAGACCAGGGGTGTCAAACTGGATTTCTTTGAGGGACGGATCAGCATTGTAGTTCTGCATGGGCCAGCCGGGAGGGGGGGAAGGTGAGGAGACGGGATGGACACCTCCTGCAGCACCTTGCCGGCCAAAACAGGATGCGGGGGGTGGGCTTGTACGCCCCCTGCAGCCCTTTTTCAGCCTCCACCAGCCTTCTAAAACGCTCTGCCAGCCTAAAACAGGCCACGGGGGAACCTCGCGCAGCCACCCCGCGGCCTGTTGTCGCCGCGGCAGACTGCTGCAGGAGGCCATGGAGGCCAAAAATGGGCCACAGGCCAGTCTTTTGATATTGCTAGGCCAACCCGCGGACCGGATCTAAGCACCCCGTGAGCCGGATCTGGCCCGCGGGCTTTGAGTTTGTCACCCTTGGGCTAGACAGTCACTTATCTGAAATGGTATAGGTTCTCCTGCTTGAGCATTGGGCTGGACTAGATGACCTCCAAGGTCCCTTCCAACTCTGTTATTCTCTTCTCTTCTCTTCTCTTCTCTTCTCTTCTCTTCTCTTCTCTTTTCTCTTCTCTTCTCCTCTATTCTATTCTATTCTATTCTATTCTATTCTATTCTATTCTATTCTTTCTATTCTATTTTATCCTATTCTAATTATTCTCTGCTATTTAATTCAATCTATGATCCAGATGAATAGCAAGCATACCCTCCCAACAAATCAACCTACCAGCTGGTTGAGGGGTCCTTGGTATTCTCTGAGCTTGGTTGTTTTCTTGCTGATGTTTTGTTACCAGACTAGGTAATATCATCAGTGCTGGGTGTCAAGGCTCCGACTAAACAACCCAAGCAAATCAGAACTCATTCAGAAGTTGACACTAGGAGGAAGCGGGGTTTGCAGAGTGGAGATGGAAGAGGAACGTGGGGGTCATTGATGCTCTTTCTTGCTTTCTTGAAGACATTTTGTTACCAAACTAGGTAACGTCATCAGTGCTAGAAGGGAGTGAGGGTTTGTAGAGTGGAGGAGGAACACTGTAGGGTCCTCAGTGCTCTTCGACCTTGATAGTTTTCTTGTAGACATTTCATTAGCAAACGATGTAACAAACTCAAAAAAACAAGCTCAGAGGGCATCAAGGACTCCTCAGTTGCAAGCAGAGCTGGAGGTAATAAATGCATCATCAGTTTAGAGTCTTTGCATTGTCATGGAATTTAAATCTAGCCTCCTTGAATTCCCTGGAGTTTTCTGAACTACAGCTCAATCTGTGATCCTAATCCTTTGACAAGACTATTTTGCGGTCCTTTGTATTTTAGATACTTACCCAAGGAAGTAGCTGGTCTTCAGATGAAGGATCTTTAACAGTAACAGAGTTGGAAGGTACCTTGGAGGTCATCTAGTCCAGCCCCCTGCTCACGCAGGAGACCTGTACTAGGGATTCGAACCGCCAAACTGCTGACCTTTCTGATGGACAAGCTCAGTGTCTTAGCCACTGAGCCACCTAGTCATCTTTTTTTCTTTTTTGCTTTAATTTATATGCTGCCCTTCTCCAGAGACTCAGGGCGGTTTACAATGTGTTAAGCCATAGCCTTTATACTTTTGTATATTTATACAGTCAGCTTATTGCCCCCACAATCTGGGTCCTCATTTCACCTACCTTTGAGAGGATGGAAGGCTGAGTCAACCTTGAGCCTGGCGAGATTTGAACTTGCAGTAATTGCAAGCAGCAGTTGTTAATAACAGTGCTTTAGTCCACTGTACTACAAGCATCTTACCTGATGCTTTCAGTAGAATGGACCTACTGTTACTTATTTCTCCTGCAACCAAGAGCATTTTGTAGCCAAAATGTCCTAAAGTCATAAAAAGTGCCCCATATAAGTAAATCCAATGTGTTTCTTCTTATTCCTTCCACTAATAATAGTTTATTTTCTAGACAACATAAACTTCTCATTTTCCAGTAATATCTAACACCACTAGATGTCACCAATGTTCCATGAAGATTTTATACATTATACAGTGATGGCATTGGGGGAAAACTGTTCTTGTGTCTAGTTGTCAATCTGGTGTGCAGTGCTCTATAGCCTAGTTTGGAGGGGAGGAGTTGAAACAATTTATGTCCAGGATGCGAGGGGTCTGTAGATATTTTCACAACCCTCTTTTTGACTCCTGCAGTATACAGGTCCTCAATGGAAGGCAGGTTGGTAGCCATTTTTTTTGCAGAATGAAGGGACAGATGCAGAAAGGAGGAACAGAATGAAATGTGAGTGGCAAAAAGTAAAATAGTTTTTAAATTTATTTTAAATAATTAAGTAGAATTGTTAAATGGTCCCGCAGCGAGTTTTCCCACGGTAAATTGGCCGTGGCGAGTTGGCCATGGTGAATTGGTCGCAGCGAGTTGGCCACAGCAAGTTGTCCCATTCCGCCAATAGTAATAGGCGCCTTGGGTGCAAATCCCAAAACATCTGGAGTGCCATTTGAATACCATCAGTGTTAGGATTTCTAATTTAGTAGTTGGAACAGCAAAGTGTACAATAAGCCAGAACACACAGTTGTAGTTGATTAATTAGAATTTGCTGACTCATACATGAGGCAATCTACGCTCCAATTGGTTGCTGTAAGTATGAAGGGGGAGTTTCCCTTTTTCCCGCCTTTTTGGTCTGTGTGTTCTGCGTGCTGTTTAATTTACCTCAGGATGTTCCAGTGTTCTTGACTGCCTTATGTTCTTCCTTTTCTGCATGATGACAAAGACGGCTGTAAATTTGAACAGTTTATACACTGCTCAAACAACTAAAGGGAACACAAAATTACTGTATGTAACGAACAAAGTATTTAATAAAGCTATTTCATTCATTCAGATCTCGGATGTCTAATATATATATATATATATATATATATATATATATATATATATATATATATATATATATACTTTTTAATTCATAGGTTTAAATGTATGATATTTTTGTAATCAGGGTTTTTTTCCTATGTAGATAAAGTTGTTAAATGGCCATGGTGGGATGAAATCTCCAATCATCACTTTCAGGCCTGTCAGACATTTTGTGTTTTTTATTCTGAGACTTATGGGAGACTGGGATAGCACTATTTTGGGTTTTTTGAACCTCTTCAGCCAGCCACACCCATATTTTATGACTCCTCCCTGTAAAGGTCAAATATTTATACTTTTTAATTCATAGGTTTAAATGTATGATATTTTTGTAATCAGGGTTTTTTTTCCTATGTAGATAAAGTTGTAATATATATAATATAATATATTATATGCATTTCTCAGCCATTCTTCCTACGTAAACCAAGATTTTTATGCAACCATAGTTCAGTGAAATCACAATCCACTAGTTTCTAGGCTTTTTTCAGGCACCTTGCTGCCCCTTTTGGGAGACTTTTTACAAACTATTCTAAAAATACGAGTTCCAGGTATATTAGTAAAGAAAGAAGCAATGGCCAAATTGATTAATGGCATATAAAAACAGAGGTCTCTGTAATGGTAGTTTAATACTCTGACAATGTCAGAAGATGGCTGACGAAAGCTTAGTAAAATAAAAATAGTAATTATTTTAAAATTTTAAAATTTTAAATTCCGGAGCTCGCAAGATGTCTGCTCCTTTCTTTACTAATATATCTCTGTGTGTGTGTGTGTATGTGTGTGTGTGTATCTGTATATATATATATGTGTGTGTGTGTCTGTCTGTCTGTCTGTCTACAGGTTTGTCTCTGACAGGTGCTGCGCAACTCCATGACAATCAGCATTGACAAAACCACCAACGCTACCTTTAACGCCATCAGTCAACATCTGCCTATCCCAAAACCTTGGGAAAGACTCGATCAGTGGCTAAAAATGCCAAATCCAGTCAAAACATCTGGCTTTGAGACAACCCATGAATATTATCACATTGGTTGGAATTAGCCTTCGCAAATCCTAATTCTGTTGGCCTTGTAAGGTGTATTAAAGAGAAGTTGGAGATGATACAACTTGATTTTTTCCCTCCATCCTTTTTCTTTTTGAGGGGCAATTTCCTTTTTAATCCAGAAGATACCTCGGTGAGATGGGATTGCACAATGACTCATGTCCAGATCTGTTTACATCAGCGAGGGCTTAAAAGTAGATCAAAACAGACATAAGAGCACTACACGCTACACTACACAGTTGCCACACACTACAATCAATCACCTGCTCTGTTTTACAATCCAAGCAAAAGATTATTTCAGAAATGATCACTTTGTCATGGCGGTCAGAGGGGACAATTGCGCGAAAATGTTTTTTGATTACAATCTGATTGTCATTTTTCTTGGACTAAATCCCATGAAATTAACCTGGATTTACTTTGGATGAGATGTTTATAGGTTGCAAGAAGATCGATATAATTCAGTTGATATCTACAGAGAAAGAGCAACTGAAGAGATTTTTTTTCATGATTTTTTTTAAAAAAATTGTAGAACACCTAGATAATTTTTAAACAAATCCAAGATGACTTCTAGCAAAAATCAAGCACAACAGAAAAACTAGGAAGTAGAAAAGTCAGCAAAATTACACCTAATAAAAACCCCATTTTTTAAAAAAACAAAAAGATATTTACTTACAGCATTGTTTTCTTCACAAAACCCAAATGCAAGCAGTTGAAATCCCCCTCTTCTTTGCAGCAGCCCCTCAAATACTGGAATATTGCTATCATGTCACCCCTAGTCCTTCTTTTCTCTAGACTTCCCAACAGAGGTGGGTTTCAGCAGGTTCTGACCAGTTCTGGAGAACCGGTAGCAGAAATTTTGAGTAGTCCGGAGAACCAGTAAATACCACCTCTGACTGTCCCCGCCCCATCTATTCTCTGCCTCCCAAGTCCCAGCTGATTGGGAGGGAATGGGGATTGTGCAGTAACCTTCCCCAGCAGTGGGGAGGGAATGGAGATTTTACAGTATCCTTCTCCTTGGGGTGGGGAGGGAATGGGGTTTTTGCAGTATCTTTCCACTGGAGTGGGGTGGGAATGGAGATTTTACAGTATCTTTCCACTGGAGTGGGGTGGGAATAGAAATTTTACAGTATCTTTCCACTGGAGTAGGGTGGGAATGGAGATTTTACAGTATCCTTCCCCCTGCAGTGGGGTGGGAATGGAGATTTTGCAATATCCTTCCCCCTGGAGTGGAGTGGGAATGGAGATTTTGCAGTATCCGTCCCCTGGAGTAGGATGGGAAGGGAGATTTTGCAATATCCTTCCCCCTGGAGTGGGAAGGGAATGGGGATTTTGCAGTATCCTTCCCCTGGAGTGGGGAGGGAATGAAGATTTTGCAGTATCCTTCCCCTGGAGTGGGATGGGAATGGAGATTTTACAGTATCCTTCCCCTGCCATGCCCACCAAGCCTTGCCATGCCCACCAAGCCACGCCCACAGAACCAGTAATAAAAAAAAATTGAATCCCACCACTGCTACTCATACCCAGTTCCTGCAACCATTCTTTATATATGTTTTAGTCTCCAGGCCTTTAATTTTCTTTGTCACTCTTCTCTGTACTCTTTCTAGAGTCTCAACCAGTGGTGAAATCTAAAATTTGTTACTACTGGTTCTGTGGGCGTGGCTTGGTGGTGGTGGGGTAATGTGACTTGGTGGGCGTGGCCAATTTTTTTTTTTAACTTTTAAAATCATTTTCTTTACAACCTCTTCAGCAAAAAGGTTGTAAAAAAATACTTTCAAAAGGCTCTGACGATCCCAGCTGAGTTGCCTGATCGTCAGAGCCTTTTTTTTTTTTCTTTTAAATGCTTCTGACGATCAGGCAACTCAGCTTGGATCGTCAGGCATCGTCTTGGATCGTCAGCTTGGATCGTCGAACTCAGCTTGACGATCAGGCAACTCAGCTTGGATCGTCAGAGGCGTTTAAAAGAAAAAAAGCCTCTGATGATCGCGCGGCTCAGCTGGGCATGGGGGGCGGGCAGGGATTTTTGCTACTGGTTCTCTGAACTACCTGCCTCCATCGCTACCGGATTGGGTGATCTGGTCCGAACCGGGAGCATTTCACCCCTGGTCTCAACATCTTTTTTATGATACGGTAACCAAAACCGGAGGCATATAAAGCAGTATTAATCCTTCTAATACTAATACTGCTCGTGGATGACCATGAGCAGTGTTTCCCAACCTAGGAACTATCTAGGAAAATAGATAAGATATATTTCTGCAGAGGTTCTTTTGGACATGGATGTCACTTGCTCTTCGGGAGGGAACTATGAGTCCAGATTGTGTACCAGTTTCAGACTGGGAGATGTCACTCCCATTAAAGAGGGCGAAATACTGGGAAACATAAAAACCACAGTCATCAGCTCTTGTCGATATTACATCAGATTCCTCTTCCTCCACGCAGTTCCTGTAATAAAAAAACAAAGTAGATTAAATGTAGATGAAAATGTGTCAAAATGAAAATGCCGGGGACAAGACAATAGGTTACTCTGTAGAAAATGGACACGTTTTAAAAACACGGAAGTGATTTTCTTATGGATCTGTACAGGACAATATATAAGGGCTGCCCCTTTGCCTTACAATTTGAAGTCAAGCGGTTATTGTCCTTTGTATAAAGAGAAAAGTAACAATAGTGAATGCAAAATCTACAGTGCGATGAATCAATGAAGATTCTCTTGTCATCCAGGTAGACTCGTCTCGAATTGATTTATGGCAACTGGACTTAATTATGCAAGTTAAATTTTAACGTATGTGATGAGGGGACTGGAGCTTAAAACATACGATGAACAGTTACAGGAACTGGGCCTGGCTAGTCTACTGAAGAGAAGGACCAGGGGAGACACGATAGCAGTCTTCCAATATTTGATGGGCTGCCACGAAGAAGAGGGGAGTCAACCTGTTCTCCAAAGCACCAAAAGGCAGGATAAGAAGCAATGGATGGAAATGAAGCAAGGAGAGAAGCAAGAACCAGAAAGGGGGAAATTATTAATTTAATATTTAAAAAAATATAAAACTAGTATGGATAACGTTGAGTTAAACATCCCTCTTCTCTTTAAGTCACAACCCAAAAGAAAACTTGTAACCAGCCAGCAAAATGATTTTTTCTGTAATTAAAAAACAATGAGCACCAATGTGTTGGATTGTTCCAACTTGGTTAATCTGTTAAAACTGTTAGCATTCTTACCTAAAGCTCTTTCATTTCTTCAGGATTGGGCAGTTTAATCTGAAGAGCTGCTCTAAGATTATTCCAGAAAAATGGATGCTTCCTCTTGTCTTCTGGCCATTCCAAATAGGTCCTCTTGGCCATGAGAGCTTTGAGTTTGTAGTACCTGGCGGGAATGATGTAGGCCGGTATGGACTCCAACAAAATCAGAATTAAGCCGTCGGCGTTTTCACTGAACAACTTGTGATGAGCAAAATACAGCTCGTAATGGCACCATTCGCTCTGCACGAAATTGGGAGATAGCACGAAGATGGACTTGTAACTTTTCTCGATGCAGTCGATGATGTTCTCCACGACGCTCTTCCCTGGAATGAAGTTCCTCTCGTGTTGGCAGATCCTTAAGGACCCTTCTTCCTTCTCCAGATTGGGGATGAGTTCGGTTTTGACCCAGTTAGCATCATGCTCGCTGTAGGAGACAAATGCGTGGTATTGAATGCTCTCGGGGATCTCTTCCGATTTCTTCTTCCATATCCGATGTTTTACCTGGCTCCACCGACAGATCATCTTGAAATACCAGGGGACGTCGAAGCGGACGCAGAGGAAGGCAACAACAGCTATTACGAACAGCGAAACCGCTAAAACGACTGTAATCAAGAGAGCCACGTTGCACTGAAGTTCAGAAATACGGAAATTTTTTAAGAGAGTTCCCTTTAAGTCGCTGGGATATTCACACATATAAATATCAGGCCAACCAACTAACACCACCGATTCTTCTTTTTGAAGATTAATGAGCTGCCTTAATTCACAGTGGCACCCGAAGGGATTACGTCCTGCTTTTAATCTTCGAATATTCTGACAGGTCTGGAAGAATTCAGAAAACTCGTCAAGAACAAAATTATTCTCTACGTTAAGCGCCTGAAGGTTTTTAAAATCGCCGCATCCTGGAAAAGCATTGAGTCTATTAGAAGCCAAATTTAACTCCTTTAAAGCAGTCAGTTCAATGATGTCTTTAGGCACAGCTGAAATCTGATTACTTTGTAAATCCAACATTTGGATATTGTTCGGTAAACATCTAAAAACAGAGTCTGTTAACTTGTTGGATGACAAATTCAGTTTAATTATATGTTCGCCCCAGTTGCATTTGATTTCACTGTCTTTGTAGTACAAGCGATTCTGACTTACATCCATAGATTTCAGAGACGTCATGCTAGTTGTCATTAAGCTCACTTTGGTAAGATCTTCAAGTCTATTCTTTTGTAAAATGAGCGTTTGTAGCATAATTAAATTTTTGCAACCTTGAAATATGGTGTCAGTCAATGTGTTGTTTTTAAAACTTAAATACTTAAATCTACTGGGTGTTTCAGGACAATATATAAATAATATACCAGAATCAGAAATAGTCAAGCTGTCAATGTTCAAGTTTGAAAAAGTTGAGTACACAATATTTTGGTCAAATATTGTTGTCTCGAAAAGTCCATATTGGATGGTTACACTTTTTAATGAGGGATCTGCATTTTTAAAAGATTCATCATTGAACTCGATAATGGTTGGATATAAAACGATTAAATGATTAATGCTGGATTTCCCCACTGCTTTAAAGACATCAAGGAGGTCTTTCCAACTCAATTTCATATCGATTATTGTTAGATTTAGCAATGTGCTTTTTTCATCCAGCCGTGTCAGAAATGTTCTTAAGTCTTCCATTTGCTCCAATGGGATCTTAGAAAGTTCTAAACTTTCTGTACCGTTGAACCGCAGATCCGAGAGGATGCGAACGTTGGCGTTTTGAGGGAGCACAATCCGAACTGTCTTTGCATTGAACACCAGAAGACTTCCTGCCTTATATCCATCAAGATCTTCTAAGCCCAGAAATAGCGTGTCCACTTGTAAATGCACAAGAGCTTCGACACTCGAAAGTTTTCTAGCACTAATTCCAAAATAGTTCAGCTTTGTTGTTTTGGTGAACTCGGTGAAGAGCGGCATGGCGGGAAAGTCATTGTAAGCGAGATCTACATGCTTGAGGCTTTTAGTAGGAAAACCAGAAACATTCCTTAGCGTGTTGTGAGATGCATCAAGGTGCTCCAAGACGTCATTGTGCTGGAAAATCCCCAAATCAATTTCTGTGATAGAATTATGAGTCAGAATTAGCACTTGCAAGTTGGGAAGGGAACGAAAATCAGAGCTTTCCAATTTCGATATACTGTTACTGGATAGATCCAGAACTGTGGTTTGTGTTGGCAGATGTTTGGGGACAGTAAACAGGGAACTCCTTGAGTAGTTTGCTACAAGTCCACTTTCTGCCGTTGAGTGGGTGAAATTCCAAAAGGTTATCGCAAATATACAAAGAGAGAGAAAATTATTCGTAGCTGACATCTTCCTTCCAGTTATAGGACAGGCGGATTTAGGCCCTCTTCTCAACTGGACATCGTTCTGTTAAAAAATAAATACAAATTCACGGTACAATTTTATGTCAGCCTTTAATATTTCATTGTTCAATATTCTTTACCGTGGTGGCCCAAATTGTGGAAACCTTTTGGGAAAAGTAATTAGCTAAAACTAATTTAAAACTAAAATTTAGCTAAAAGTTATTAGCTAAAACTAGCTAATAACGCAACTTTGTGGGGGGTTTTGGAGTAGTACCATAAAATTATATATCAACGGAAAGATAATTTAATCAAGAATGTAATGCAATAACTTTTATGAAGGATTTGCTGTTAGAATAGCAGTTACGGTATAAAGAAGAAAAGTGAAACACGTAGAAAAAACAAGATGTACAAAAATGATCACCCTAGAAAAAACGAGATATACAAAATTGATCACCATGTCAGTTAATACTTAGTTGGGTAACCTTTAGCATGAATGACGGCCTTACAACGTCTTCCCATGGAGTGAACCAAGTCTTTGAGTTCCACAGCTGTTATCATGTGAAACCAAGATTGAATGATGGCTTCTATTAACTGAGTTTTATTGCTGGGTCGCTTCTGACTAACAAGTTTCTTTAGTCGGCTCCATAGATTTTCCATTGGGTTAAGGTCTGGGCTATTCCCAGGCCATTCCAGCAGTGGAATAGGATTATCTTGAAACTCCACCCAAAAAAAAAAAAAGTGGTGTTATTAGCCATCAAACTTCAAAAATACACTTTTCCCAAAAGGTTTCCACAATTTTGGCCACTACTGTATCTTACTCACTTCTGAATACAGGTAGTCTTTTATTTACGATAAACCTTACATTAATGCTGCCAAATCTGTTTGTTCAGCTGAACTCGAATGTGGAGTATATTTTACTGTATGTACGTCTCACTGAACAGCATTCCTTAAATTCCAGGAAGGTAACTCAAGTACTTTCAAAGATGCTAATTCACAAAGATAACATTTAAAAAAAACCTGGTGTTATATATATATTACAAACTATTCTAAAAATACGAGTTCCAGGTATATTAGTAAAGAAAGAAGCAGACATACTGCGAACTCCGGAACTTAAGATTTTAAAATTTTAAAAGAATTAGAATTTTATTTTACTAAGCTTTCGTCAGACATCTGCTGACATCGTCAGAGTATTAAACTACCATTACAGAGATCTCTGCCTTTATATGCCATTGATCAATTTGGCCCTTGCGCATGTAATAGGCCCCTCCAGCTTGTAATCAGCTGTTTTGTTTTTGCTGTCGTCATGCTGGATGATGGAGGCTTGATTCCTACTGTTTTAAAATTTTAAAATCTTAAGTTCCAGAGTTCGCAGTATGTCTGCTTCTTTCTTTACATATATACAGTGATGGGATTCAAATAATTTAACAACCGGTTCTCTGCCCTAATGATTTCTTCCAACAACCAGTTCACCAAACTGCTCAGAAAGTTAACAACCGGTTCTCCCGAAGTGATGCAAACTGGCTGAATCCCACCACTGCATACAAAAGTTCATATTCATTAAGATACTAGAAACATGATTGGTTGCAAACTTCTCTAAAGTAACGTGATCGCTCTCTGTGATTCTATAAGGCAATTTGATTCTTTGGGGAGGAATTAAGCAACACGGAATACTTCCTTTGTGTTTTGAGCTTTTGTAAGATCATTTGCATGTTTTTAACTCTCCTAGTTTCTTTCTTACTCAGGGCCGTACAAGATGTTGTAATAGCAGCTACTTTCTCCACATTGTGGCTCATCTATATTCTTAAATCTCAGTGACTAAATCCGTTTCCCACAGCAGTCTTAACTACATATGTCTAAGATCTTCTTGTGACATTTAAAAGAACATAACGTCATTTGAGTCTTTTTACTCCTATTTAAAGTTTTGCTACATATTCAGGTTCTGTTAAAGGTTGGTTTTTCATTCCCAAAACACTGCCATGGAATTTGATTGAATTCCCCCCCCCCCGTTTTTTTTGTTTTTTTTTTGTTTTGTTTATTTATCTGTTGCAGCTGAGAGAATCAAATTCTCTTTGTTTCTTAAAGAAGCTTTCATCTTCTCTTTTTTTAAAAAAATAAATAAATAAAATCCTGAAATACAATAGCAGTTTTTCTACAAAATAGCTCCGTGAACAAGCTACCAACCAAACCTATTCAGGTAGGCCTCAGCTTACGACTGCAACTGAGCCCCCAAAAAATCCATCGCTAAGCGAGACAAGGGGTTAAGTGAGGGTTTTTTCCCCCATTTGACCACCCTTCTTGCCCTGGCTGTTAAATGAATCACTGCAGCTGTCGCTAGTAACATGATTGTTAAGCGAATCTGGATTTCCCGCTTTGACTTTGCTCGTCAGAAGGTTTCACATGATCTCAAGAACATGGCAACCGTCATAAACGTGAGACAAGCATCTGAATTCTGATCACGTGACCATGGGGATGGCTGCAAGATCATGTGAAAACAATCCCAAGTCACTGTCAGTGCCATTGTAACTTCGAACGGTCACTAAATGAACTGTTCCAAGTTAAGGACTACTTGTACGGAGGACTTGGGTGCTGGTTAATGTGCCATGGACACATGGGACTTACGGTAGGGCCTGCTGAAGTCTGGACCATGTGAATTTTGAACCCAAGCCCACCTTTTGAGGATGCTGGGAACCAAGATCCAAATCTTCTAGAAAACAGAACCTTGTCAAAACTCAAATTGATTCAGCCTAGCTTGTTTTAAGGCCGAGTCAGATACTGAATAATATTGAAATAATCCGAATCAATTCTTCACAACTGTTCCTTTGATTCATTCGTTCCCCTATTATGCAGGTGGTCCTCGACTTACGACCTCAATTGAGCCCAAAATTTCCATTGCTAAGTGAGACATTTGTTAAGCGAGTTTTGCCCCATTGTTATGACTTTTCCTGGCAGGGAATCACCGAAGTTGTTAATTTGGTCACCCGGTTGTTAAGCGGATCTGTGGCTTCCCCACTGACTTTTGCTTGTCGGGAAGGTCACAAAAAGGGATCCTGGGACACCGCGACCGTCATAAGTACGAGTCAGTGGCCAAACACCTGAGTTTTGATTTGACATGACCCTGGGCATATGGCAACGGCCGTTCCATGTGAAAAAGGGTTATATGCCATTTTTTTTCAGTGCCACTGTAACTTTGAACAGTTACTAAATGAAATGTCATAAGTCGAAGTCTACCTGCATCCATTTTGTTTTGCTTTAAACTCCCAAGACGCCTCAAATCAGGCCCTGGGAATTTTAAAAAAAAAGGTTTTGGGTGGGGATCATTGCAAGGATTTTCTCTCTAGGAGCAAATCATAACCGGTTTTAAACAATGACTGCTACTATTTCAGGGGGAAATAACCTCCTCTCCCTGATTCGTTTTTTCCTTTTTTCTGTTTTTTTTTCTTTCTCTTTCTTTCTTTCTTTCTCTCTCTCTCTCTGTCTGTCTCTCTCTGTGTGTGTATGTGTGTGTGTCTCTCTCTCTCTGTCTCTCTCTGTGTCTCTGTCTGTCTGTCCGTCTCTCTGAGTCTCTTTCTCTGTCTGTCTCTCGGTCTCTCTCTGTCTCTCTCTGTCTCTCTCTCTCTGTCTGTGTCTCTGTCTGTCTCTCTGTCTCTGTCTGTCTCTCTGTCTCTCTCTCTCTGTCTGTCTGTCTCTCTCTCTCTCTGTGTGTGTGTCTCTCTGTGTCTCTCTGTGTGTGTCTCTCTGACTCTCTGTGTGTCTCTCTCTCCCTGTCTCTCTGTCTCTCTGTCTGTCTCTCTCTCTGTCTCTCTTTCTCTCTGTGTGTCTCTGTCTGTCTCTCTGTGTGTGTCTCTCTGACTCTGTGTCTCTCTCTCCCCCTGTCTCTCTCTCTCTCTGTCTCTCTCTCTGTCTCTCTCTCTGTCTCTCTTTCTCTCTGTGTGTCTCTGTCTGTCTCTCTGACTCTGTGTCTCTCTCTCCCCCTGTCTTTCTCTCCCTGTCTCTCCCTGTCTTTCTCTTGCTCTGTGTCTCTGTCTGCCTGTCTCTCTGTCTCTCTCTGTGTCTGTGTCTGTGTCAGTGTCTGTCTCTCTCTCTCTCTCTTTTTAAAGACCCATGTGCTTCAAAAGAGGAAGCCAGGTTGCAACAACCCAGGGGATTAGAAACGCTCTGAAAATCAGGAAGCGGAAAGCAAAGGGACGTTTTTGATGGCCAAACCTCATTTTCCATCCGCCTGACCCAGATTTTCCACCTTTGAAGCTCAGATCCAATCGCTCTAGATTGGGGGTAGGTGGGAAAAAGTCTCCGGGAAGGGAAGGATTTCCCAGGGACGGCCGCTGGTTAGAAGAGAAGGAAACTCGGGGAGGGAGAGGGAGAGAGAGAGAGGGAGGGAGAGGGAGGGAGAGGGAGAGAGGGAGGGGGGAGAGAGAAGGAGGGAGAGAGAGAGAGAGAGGGAGGGAGAGGGAGAGAGAAAAGGACTTCAGATTCTTATTTCTTATTATTCTTCTTTTTTTTTTAAAGGGCTTCGCAAGCAAAGGAGAAGCGCGCCCGGTTGCTCTGCGTTGCTTTAGAAGCCAAGAAGCGCGCAGCTCCGGGGACAGAGGTTTCCAGCTGCGTCTGGATTCAACCCCGGCTGTTTCACACGTTCCCCCCGGGGGAGGATGGAGAATAACCTACCTTGGAAGGTTAGAGACGACCTGCCCTGGTCTATGAATACGGTTGATTCTCTGCGCACTTGGAGACGCGCGGACACGGGTGTCGCTCCGCTTGGAACTTCCCCGCTTTCTGAACGCGGAGAAAGTTTTGCCCGTTTCCCCTTCTTCCCCTTGCCGGGAAGACACACCTCTCCCCCCACCCCCCACCCTTCTCCGCTTCCGGACCCTTCTTGGCTCAGCAGGGTGGGAGATGTGGGGGAAAGTCCGGCGGATCCAAAGTGAAAGTGGAAAGAGGAACTTTCACTTTCGGCTCATTAAGCGCCAGCCGCCGGCCAGGCTTCCCAGGCAGGGAAGGGGGAACAGAAAAGGGGCCCCTCCGATGGGAAAACCCAATTTTTTTTTTTACTACCGGTCCTGTGGGCGTGGTGTGGCTTCGTGGGCGTGGCTTGGTGGGCGTGGCAGGGGAAGATACTGCAAAATCTCCATTCCCTCCTTATTTTATTTTAATTTATTTTTATTTTTATATAAAAGCAGCTAAATTTAAAACTTCCTAGACTTTAAATGGCTAGGTCTAAAAAAAGAACAACTAAAAAAAACCCCAATTAATTATTTTTTTTAAAGCTCCCAAAGGGGGAAAAAATCTTACCCAATAGAACAGGGGTCTCCAACCTTGGCAACTTTAAAACTTGTGGACTTCAACTCCCAGAATTCCTCAGCCAGCTTTGCTGGGAGTTGAAGTCCACAAGTCTAGGCAGGAAGGCAGGCAGGCAGATAGAGCTGCTCACTGATGAGCTTGATTGCAGGCAGGGAGATTCAGTTGCTTGCTGATGCAATGGATTGCAGTTATTACAGCAAGCGAAGCAAGGCAGGCATTGCGACCTGCAGCTAAGGTAAGCAAGCTGGAGGCTGGGGGGAGGGGGGAAGAGAGGGATTTTTGCTACCGGTTAGCAGGCAACTCAGCTGGGATCGTCAGAGCTTGGCTCGTCAGAGCCATTTAAAAGAAAAAAAAGGCTCCGATGATGGCACAGCTCAGCTGGGCATGGGGGCGGGGGGGCAGGGATTTTTGCTACCGGTTCTCCGAACTGCCCGCTGCCATCGCTATCTACTCGCCCGAGCCGGGAGCATTTCAACCCTGAACTGTAGCCTAAAACATACGATGAATGGTTATAGGAACAGGGCCTGGCTAGTCTACTGAAGAGAAGGACCAGGGGAGACACGATAGCAGTCTTCCAATATTTGATGGGCTGCCACGAAGAAGAGGGGAGTCAACCTGTTTTCCAAAGCACCAGAAGGGAGGATAAGAAGCAGTGGATGGAAACGAAGCAAGGAGCGGAGCAAGAACTAGAAAGGGGGAAATTATTAATTTAATATTTAAAAAAAATATAAAACTGGTATGGATAACGTTGAATTAGACATCCCTCTTCTCTTTAAGTCACAACCCAAAAGAGAACTTCTAACCACCCAGCAAAATGATTTTTTCTGTAATTAAAAAATGATGAGCACCAATGTGTTGGATCGTTCCAACTCGGTTAATCTGTTAAAACTGTTAGCATTCTTACCTAAAGCTCTTTTATTTGTTCGGGATTGGGCAGTTTAATCTGAAGAGCTGCTCTAAGATTAGTCCAGAAAAATGGATGCTTTCTCTTGTCTTCTGGCCATTCCAAATAGGTCCTCTTGGCCATGAGAGCTTTGAGTTTGTAGTACCTGGCGGGAATGATGTAGGCCGGTATGGACTCCAACAAAATCAGAATTAAGCCGTCGGCGTTTTCGCTGAACAACTTGTGATGAGCAAAATACAGCTCGTAATGGCACCATTCGCTCTGCACGAAATTGGGAGATAGCACGAAGATGGACTTGTAACTTTTCTCGATGCAGTCGATGATGTTCTCCACGATGCTCTTCCCTGGAATGAAGTTCCTCTCGTGTTGGCAGATCCTTAAGGACCCTTCTTCCTTCTCCAGATTGGGGATGAGTTCGGTTTTGACCCAGTTAGCATCATGCTCGCTGTAGGAGACAAATGCGTGGTATTGAATGCTCTCGGGGATCTCTTCCGATTTCTTCTTCCATATCCGATGTTTTACCTGGCTCCACCGACAGATCATCTTGAAATACCAGGGGACGTCGAAGCGGACGCAGAGGAAGGCAACAACAGCTATTACGAACAGCGAAACCGCTAAAACGACTGTAATCAAGAGAGCCACGTTGCACTGAAGTTCAGAAATACGGAAATTTTTTAAGAGAGTTCCCTTTAAGTCGCTGGGATATTCACACATATAAATATCAGGCCAACCAACTAACACCACCGATTCTTCTTTTTGAAGATTAATGAGCTGCCTTAATTCACAGTGGCACCCGAAGGGATTACGTCCTGCTTTTAATCTTCGAATATTCTGACAGGTCTGGAAGAATTCAGAAAACTGGTCAAGAACAAAATTATTCTCTACGTTAAGCGCCTGAAGGTTTTTAAAATCGCCGCATCCTGGAAAAGCATTGAGTCTATTAGAAGCCAAATTTAACTCCTTTAAAGCAGTCAGTTCAATGATCTCTTTAGGCACAGCTGAAATCTGATTACTTTGTAAATCCAACATTTGGATATTGTTCGGTAAACATCTAAAAACAGAGTCTGTTAACTTGTTGGATGACAAATTCAGTTTAATTATATGTTCGCCCCAGTTGCATTTGATTTCACTGTCTTTGTAGTACAAGCGATTCTGACTTACATCCATAGAATTCAGAGAGATCATGCTAGTTGTCATTAGGCTCACTTTGGTAAGATCTTCAAGTCTATTCTTTTGTAAAATGAGCGTTCGTAACATAGTTAAATTTTTGCAACCTTGTAACATGGTGTCAGTCAATGTATTGTTTTTATAACTTAAATACTTAAATCTACTGGGTGTTTCAGGACAATATATATATAATATACTAGAATCAGAAACAGTCAAGCTGTCAATATTCAAGTTTGAAAAAGTTAAGAACACAATACTTTGGTCATATGTTCTTGTATTGGAAAGTACATATTGGACGGTTACACTTTTTAATGAGGGATCCGCATTTTTAAAAGAGCCATCATTGAATTTGGTAATGGTTGGGTATAAAATGGTTAAATGATTAATGCTGGATTTCCCCACTGCTGTAAAGACATCAATGAGGTCTTTCCAACTCAACTGCGTGTCGATTATTGTTAGATTTAGCAATGTGCTTTTTTCATCCAGCCGTGTCAGAAATGTTCTTAAGTCTTCCATTTGCTCCAATGGGATCTTAGAAAGTTCTAAACTTTCTGTACCGTTGAACCGCAGATCTGAGAGGATGCGAACGTTGGCGTTTTGAGGGAGCACAATCCGAACTGTCTTTGCATTGAACACCAGAAGGCTTCCTGCCTTATATCCATCAAGATCTTCTAAGCCCAGAAATAATGTGTCCACTTGTAAATGTACAAGAGCTTCGACACTCGAAAGTTTTCTAGCGCTAATTCCAAAATAGTTCAGCTTTGTTGTTTTGGTGAACTTGGTGAAGAGCGGCATGGCGGGAAAGTCATTGTAAGCGAGATCTACGTGCTTGAGGCTTTTAGTACGAAAACCAGAAACACTCCTTAGCGTGTTGTGCGATACATCAAGGTGCTCCAAGACGTCGTTGTGCTGGAAAATCCCCAAATCAATTTCTGTGATAGAATTATGAGTCAGAATTAGCACTTGCAAGTTGGGAAGGGAACGAAAATCAGAGCTTTCTAATTTCGATATACTGTTACTGGATAGATCCAGAACTGTGGTTTGTGTTGGCAGATGTTTGGGGACAGTAAACAGGGAACTCTTTGAGTAGTTTGCTACAAGTCCACTTTCTGCGGTTGAATTCCGAAAGGTTATCGCAAATATACAAAGAGAGAGAAAATTATTCATAGCTGACATCTTCCTTCCAGCTATAGGACAGGCGGATCAATTGGACATCGTTCTGTTAAAAAATAAATAAAAATTCATGGTACAATATTATGTCAGCCTTTAATATTTGACATCGTCTTCACTTAAAGGAGCTTTGGAGCTTCTGAAGGCCCTGGCTGAATCCCCGCCTCTGGCACCACATCTTCTCCAGCCTCCTCATTGTCCGACTCGAATGCCAGATGCACAGGCTGCTGGCTCAGCACCACACCAGCCTCATCACTGTCTGAATCAGCCGCCAGCTGCACAGGCCACATACGGGCCACAACACTTCGAACGGTCACTAAATGAACTGTTCCAAGTTAAGGACTACTTGTACAGCGGACTTGGGTGCTGATTAATGTGCTGGATAAGGACCATGGGTCTTACAGTAGGGCCTGCTGAAGTCTGGACCATGTGAATTTTGAACCCAAGTCAACCTTTGAGGGTGCTGGGAACCAGGATCCAAATGTATTAGAAAACAGAACCTGTCAGAACTCGAATTGATTCAGGCTAGCTTGCTTTAAGGCCGAGTCAGATACTGAATAATATTAAAATAATCCAAATCAATTCTTCACAACTGTTGGTTTGATTCATTTGTTCCCCTATTGTTGTGGCCCGTACGTGGCCTGTGCAGCTAGTAGCTGATTCAGACAGCGAGGAGGCTGGTGTGGTGCTGCACCAGCAGCCTGTGCAGTTGTCACTCAAGTCGGACAATGAGGAGGCTGGAGAAGATGGGGGTGGGGGGGATTCAGCCAGGGCCTTCAGAAGCTCCAGAAGCTCCCTTAAGTAAACAAGATGTAGAGGAGGAGCCTCTTCTCGATGCATGGGCGTGCATAGCTGCCAAAAGGCAGGAGTGGCTCCTCAGGAGGACGTCTCCTCAAGAGTAAGGCTTGGGGATAATTGGCCACTCCCTTAGCCTATTTAAGGAGGAACACCAACTGAAGCAATTTGCAGGGAACAATTTAACCAGTTCTAAACAATGACTGCTACTATTTCAGTCTCTTTTTTAAGACCCATCTGCTTCAAAAGAGGAAGTCAGGGTATAACAGCCCAGGGGATTAGAAACGCTCTGAAAATCAGCAAGCCAAAAGCCAAGGGACGTTTTCGATGGCCAAACCTCATTTTCCATCGGCCTGACCCAGATTTTCTACCTTTGAAGCTCAGATCCAATCCCTCTAGATTGGGAGTGGGTGGGAGAAAGTCTCTGAGAAGGGAAGGATTTCCCAGGGACGGCCGCTGGTTAGAAGAGAAGGAAACTCGGGAAGGGAGAGGGAGAGAGAGAGAGAGGGAGGGAGGGAGAGGGAGAGGGAGAGAGAGAGGGAGGGAGGGAGAGAGAGGGAGGGAGGGAGAGGGGAAAGAGAGGGGGAGAGGGAGAGAGGGAGAGGGAGGGAGAGGGGGAGAGAGAGAGGGAGGGAGAGAGAGGGAGGGAGAGAGAGGGAGAGGGAGGGAGGGAGAGGGAGAGAGAGAGAGAAAAGGACTTCAGATTCTTATTTCTTATTATTCTTTTTTTTTTTTTAAAGGGCTTCGCAAGCAAAGGAGAAGCGCGCCCGGTTGCTCTGCGTTGCTTTAGAAGCCAAGAAGCGCGCAGCTCCGGGGACAGAGGTTTCCAGCTGCGTCTGGATTCAACCCCGGCTGCTTCACACGTTCCCTCCGGGGGAGGATGGAGAATAACCTACCTTGGAAGGTTAGAGGCGACCTGCCCTGGTCTATGAATACGGTTGATTCTCTGCGCACTTGGAGACGCGCGGACACGGGTGTCGCTCCGCTTGGAACTTCCCCGCTTTCTGAACGCGGAGAAAGTTTTGCCCGTTTCCCCTTCTTCCCCTTGCCGGGAAGACCCACCTCCCACCCCCGCCCCCCACCCTTCCCCGCTTCCGGACCCTTCTTGGCTCAGCAGGGTGGGAGATGTGGGGGAAAGTCCGGCGGATCCAAAGTGAAAGTGGAAAGAGGAACTTTCACTTTCGGCTCACTAAGCGCCAGCCGCCGGCCAGGCTTCCCAGGCAGGGAAGGGGGAACAGAAAAGGGGCCCCTCCGATGGGGAAACCCAATTTTTTTTTTACACTACCGATCCTGTGGGCTTGGTGTGGCTTGGTGGGCGTGGCTTGCTGGGCGTGGCAGGGGAAGATACTGCAAAATCTCCATTCCTTCCCCACTCCTCGGGGAAGGATATTGCAAAATCTTCATTAGCTCCCCAATCTAGGGGAAGGATATTGCAAAATCCCCATTCCCTCCCCATTCCTGGGGGAAGGATATTGCAAAATCTCCATTCCCTCCCCACTCCAGGGGAAGGATACTGCAAAATACCCATTTCCACCCCATCCTTGGGGAAGGATATTGCAAAATCTCCATTCCCTCCCCACTCCTTGGGGAAGGATATTGCAAAATCCCCATTCCCTCCCCACTCCTGCGGGAAGGATATTGCAAAATTCCCATTCACTCCCCATTCCTGGGGGAAGGATATTGCAAAATCTCCATTCCCTCCCCACTCCAGGGGAAGGATACTGCAAAATCCCCATTCCCTCCTTATTTTATTTTAATTTATTTATTTTTTTATATAAAAGCAGCTAAATTTAAAACTTCCTAGACTTTAAATGGCTAGGTCTAAAAAAAGAACAACTAAAACAAAACCGCAATTAACTATTTTTTTTAAAGCTCCCAATGGGAAAAAACTTACCCAATAGAACAGGGGTCTCCAACCTTGGCAACTTTAAAACTTGTGGACTTCAACTCCCAGAATTCCTCAGCCAGCTTTGCTGGGAGTTGAAGTCCACAAGTCTAGGCAGGAAGGCAGGCAGGCAGATAGAGCTGCTCACTGATGAGCTTGATTGCAGGCAGAGAGATTCAGTTGCTTGCTGATGCAATGGATTGCAGGTATTACAGCAAGCGAAGCAAGGCAGGCGTTGCGACCTGCAGCTAAGGTAAGCAAGCTGGAGGCTGGGGGGAGGGGGGAGAGAGGGATTTTTGCTACCGGTTCTCCGAATTGCCCGCCGCCATCGTTACCTACTCGCCCGAGCCGGGAGCATTTCACCCCTGGACTGGAGCCTAAAACATATGATGAACGGTTACAGGAAGTGGGCCTGGCTAGTCTACTGAAGAGAAGGACCAGGAGTGACATGATAGCAGTCTTCCAATATTTGACGGGCTGCCACGAAGAAGAGGGGAGTCAACCTGTTCTCCAAAGCACCAAAAGGCAGGATAAGAAGCAATGGATGGAAATGAAGCAAGGAGAGAAGCAAGAACTAGAAAGGGGGAAATTATTAATTTAATATTTAAAAAAATATAAAACTGGTATGGATAAAGTTGAGTTAGACATCCCTCTTCTCTTTAAGACACAACCCAAAAGAGAACTTGTAACCACCCAGCAAAATGATTTTTTCTGTAATTAAAAAACGATGAGCACCAATCAATATAACAAAAAACAGCACTGTCAGAGGTATAGAATAGGGAATACTTTATTGTATGTTTGTATATATGTACATATAATCCATCTAATATATTTATATAGAATAATGGAAATTAGCTAATAGGTGACGTTTATGTACTGTATATGTAAATTTGTTTCTCAATTGTGAGAAACTTGTATGTTTTTAAATGTTCTTTCATTTAAACAATAAAGTTTAATTTTAAAATTAAAAAAAAAAAAAAACGATGAGCACCAATGTGTTGGATCGTTCCAACTCGTTTAATCTGTTAAAACTGTTAGCATTCTTACCTAAAGCTCTTTCATTTCTTCGGGATTGGGCAGTTTAATCTGAAGAGCTGCTCTAAGATTAGTCCAGAAAAATGGATGCTTTCTCTTGTCTTCTGGCCATTCCAAATAGGTCCTCTTGGCCATGAGAGCTTTGAGTTTGTAGTACCTGGCGGGAATGATGTAGGCCGGTATGGACTCCAACAAAATCAGAATTAAGCCGTCGGCGTTTTCGCTGAACAACTTGTGATGAGCAAAATACAGCTCGTAATGGCACCATTCGCTCTGCACGAAATTGGGAGATAGCACGAAGATGGACTTGTAACTTTTCTCGATGCAGTCGATGATGTTCTCCATGATGCTCTTCCCTGGAATGAAGTTCCTCTCGTGTTGGCAGATCCTTAAGGACCCTTCTTCCTTCTCCAGATTGGGGATGAGCTCGGTTTTGACCCAGTTAGCATCATGCTCGCTGTAGGAGACAAATGCGTGGTATTGAATGCTCTCGGGGATCTCTTCCGATTTCTTCTTCCATATCCGATGTTTTACCTGGCTCCACCGACAGAGCATCTTGAAATACCAGGGGACGTCGAAGCGGATGCAGAGGAAGGCAACGACAGCTATTACAAACAGCAAAACCGCTAAAACGACTGTAATCAAGAGAGCCACGTTGCACTGAAGTTCAGAAATACGGACATTTTTTAAGAGAGTTCCCCTTAAGTCGCTGGGATATTCACACATATAAATATCAGGCCAACCAACTAACGCCACCGATTCTTCTTTTTGAAGATTAATGAGCTGCCTTAATTCACAGTGGCACCCGAAGGGATTACGTCCTGCTTTTAATCTTCGAATATTCTGACAGGTCTGGAAGAATTCAGAAAACTGGTCAAGAACAAAATTATTCTCTACGTTAAGCGCCTGAAGGTTCTTAAAATTGCCGCATCCTGGAAAAGCATTGAGTCTATTAGAAGCCAAATTTAACTCCTTTAAAGCAGTCAGTTCAATGATCTCTTTAGGCACAGCTGAAATCTGATTACTTTGTAAATCCAACATTTGGATATTGTTCGGTAAACATCTAAAAACAGAGTCTGTTAACTTGTTGGATGACAAATTCAGTTTAATTATATGTTCGCCCCAGTTGCATTTGATTTCACTGTCTTTGTAGTACAAGCGATTCTGACTTACATCCATAGATTTCAGAGACGTCATGCTAGTTGTCATTAAGCTCACTTTGGTAAGATCTTCAAGTCTATTCTTTTGTAAAATGAGCGTTCGTAGCATAGTTAAATTTTTGCAACCTTGTAACATGTTGTCAGTCAATGTGTTGTTTTTATAACTTAAATACTTAAATCTACTGGGTGTTTCAGGACAATATATATATAATATATCAGCATCAGAAACAGTCAAGCTGTCAATATTCAAGTTTGAAAAAGTTAAGAACACAATATTTTGGTCAAATCTTGTTGTATCGGAAAGTATATATTGGACGGTTACACTTTTTAATGCGGGATCCGCATTTTTAAAAGCACCATCATTGAATTCGGTAATGGTTGGATATGAAACGGTTAAATGATTAATGCTGGATTTCCCCACTGCTTTAAAGACATCAATGAGGTCTTTCCAACTCAACTTCGTATCGATTATTGTTAGATTTAGCAATGTGCTTTTTTCATCCAGCCGTCTCAGAAATGTTCCTAAGTCTTCCATTTGCTCCAATGGGATCTTAGAAAGTTCTAAACTTTCTGTACCGTTGAACCGCAGATCCAAGAGGATGCGAATGTTGACGTTTTGAGGGAGCACAATCCGAACTGTCTTTGCATTGAACACCAGAAGGCGTCCCGCCTTATATCCATCAAGATCTTCTAAGCCCAGAAATAATGTGTCCACTTGTAAATGTACAAGAGCTTCGACACTCGAAAGTTTTCTAGCGCTAATTCCAAAATAGTTCAGCTTTGTTGTTTTGGTGAACTCGGTGAAGAGCGGCATGGCGGAAAAGTCGTTGTAAGCGAGATCTACGTGCTTGAGGCTTTTAGTAGGAAAACCAGAAACACTCCTTAGCGTGTTGTGTGATACATCAAGATGCTCCAAGACATCGTTGTGCTGGAAAATCCCCAAATCAATTTCTGTGATAGAATTATGAGTCAGAATTAGCACTTGCAAGTTGGGAAGGGAACGAAAATCAGAGCTTTCCAATTTCGATATACTGTTACTGGATAGATCCAGAACTGTGGTTTGTGTTGGCAGATGTTTGGGGACAGTAAACAGGGAACTCTTTGAGTAGTTTGCTACAAGTCCACTTTCTGCGGTTGAATTCCAAAAGGTTATCGCAAATATACAAAGAGAGAGAAAATTATTCGTAGCTGACATCTTCCTTCCAGCTATAGGACAGGCGGATCAATTGGACATCGTTCTGTTAAAAAATAAATACAAATTCACAGTACAATATTATGTCAGCCTTTAATATTTGACATCGTCTTCACTTAAAGGAGCTTCTGGAGCTTCTGAAGGCCCTGGCTGAATCCCTGCCTCTGGCACCACATCTTCTCCAGCCTCCTCATTGTCCGACTCGAGTGCCAGATGCACAGGCTGCTGGTGCAGCACCACACCAGCCTCATCACTGTCTGAATTAGCCACCAGCTGCACAGGCCACATACGGGCCACAACACTTCGAACGGTCACTAAATGAACTGTTCCAAGTTAAGGACTACTTGTACAGCGGACTTGGGTGCTGATTAATGTGCTGGATAAGGACCATGGGTCTTACAGTAGGGACTGCTGAAGTCTGGACCATGTGAATTTTGAACCCAAGTCAACCTTTGAGGGTGCTGGGAACCAGGATCCAAATGTATTAGAAAACAGAACCTGTCAGAACTCGAATTGATTCAGGCTAGCTTGCTTTAAGGCCGAGTCAGATACTGAATAATATTGAAATAATCCAAATCAATTCTTCACAACTGTTGGTTTGATTCATTTGTTCCCCTATTGTTGTGGCCCGTACGTGGCCTGTGCAGCTAGTAGCTGATTCAGACAGCGAGGAGGCTGGTGTGGTGCTGCACCAGCAGCCTGTGCAGTTGTCACTCAAGTCGGACAATGAGGAGGCTGGAGAAGATGGGGGTGGGGGGGATTCAGCCAGGGCCTTCAGAAGCTCCAGAAGCTCCCTTAAGTAAACAGGACGTAGAGGAGGAGCCTCTTCTCGATGCACAGGCGCGCAGAGCTGCCAATAGGCAGGAGTGGCTCCTCAGGACGACGTCTCCTCAAGAGTAAGGCTTGGGGCTAATTGGCCACTCCCTTAGCCTATTTAAGGAGGAACACCAACTGAAGCAATTTGCAGGGAACAACTTAACCAGTTCTAAACAATGACTGCTACTATTTCAGGGGGAAATAATCTCCTCTCCCTGATTCTTTTTTTCCTTTTTTCTGTCTTTTCTCTTTCTTTCTTTTTTTTCTTACTCTCTGTCCCTGTATCTCTCTGTGTGTGTGTGTGTGTCTGTCTGTCTGTCTCTCTCTCTCTCTCTCTCTCTCTCTCTCTGTCTCTCTCTGTCTCTCTCTGTCTCTCTGTGTCTGTTTCTGTCTCTCTTTTTGTCTCTGTCTGTCTCTGTGTCTCTGTCTCTGTCTCTCTCTGTGTGTGTGTGTCTCTCTGTCTCTGTCTCTCTCTCTCCCTGTCTCTCTTTGTCTTCCACTCTCTGTGTCTCTCTGTCTCTCTCTCTCTCTGTTTCTGTCTCTCTCTCTGTGTCTGTCTCTGTCTCTCTGTCTGTCTCTGTCTCTCTGTCTGTGTCTCTCTCGTGTCTCTCTCTCTATCTCTCTCTGTGTCTCTGCCTGTCTCTGTCTCTCTGTCACTCTCTCTCTGTCTCTGTCTCTTTTTTAAGACCCATCTGCTTCAAAAGAGGAAGTCAGGCTATAACAGCCCAGGGGATTAGAAACGCTCTGAAAATCAGCAAGCCAAAAGCCAAGGGACGTTTTCGATGGCCAAACCTCATTTTCCATCGGCCTGATCCAGATTTTCTACCTTTGAAGCTCAGATCCAATCCCTCTAGATTGGGAGTGGGTGGGAGAAAGTCTCTGAGAAGGGAAGGATTTCCCAGGGACGGCCGCTGGTTAGAAGAGAAGGAAACTCGGGAGGGAGAGGGAGAGAGAGAGAGAGAGAGGGAGGGAGGGAGAGGGAGAGGGAGAGAGAGAGGGAGGGAGGGAGAGAGAGGGAGGGAGGGAGAGGGGAAAGAGAGGGGGGAGAGGGAGAGAGGGAGAGGGAGGGAGAGGGGGAGAGAGAGGGAGGGAGAGAGAGGGAGGGAGAGAGAGGGAGGGAGGGAGAGAGGGAGAGAGAGAGGGAGAGAGAGGGAGAGGGAGGGAGGGAGAGGGAGAGAGAGAGAGAAAAGGACTTCAGATTCTTATTTCTTATTATTCTTTTTTTTTTTTTTTAAGGGCTTCGCAAGCAAAGGAGAAGCGCGCCCGGTTGCTCTGCGTTGCTTTAGAAGCCAAGAAGCGCGCAGCTCCGGGGACAGAGGTTTCCAGCTGCGTCTGGATTCAACCCCGGCTGCTTCACACGTTCCCTCCGGGGGAGGATGGAGAATAACCTACCTTGGAAGGTTAGAGGCGACCTGCCCTGGTCTATGAATACGGTTGATTCTCTGCGCACTTGGAGACGCGCGGACACGGGTGTCGCTCCGCTTGGAACTTCCCCGCTTTCTGAACGCGGAGAAAGTTTTGCCCGTTTCCCCTTCTTCCCCTTGCCGGGAAGACACACCTCCCCCCCCCACCCCCCACCCTTCCCCGCTTCCGGACCCTTCTTGGCTCAGCAGGGTGGGAGATGTGGGGGAAAGTCCGGCGGATCCAAAGTGAAAGTGGAAAGAGGAACTTTCACTTTCGGCTCACTAAGCGCCAGCCGCCGGCCAGGCTTCCCAGGCAGGGAAGGGGGAACAGAAAAGGATTTCACCTCTGATGGGGAAACCCAATTTTTTTTTTACTACCGGTCCTGTGGGCGTGGCTTGGTGGGCGTGGCAGGGGAAGGCTATTGCAAAATCTCCATTCCCTCCCCACTCCTGGGGGAAGGCTACTGCAAAATCTCCATTCCCACCCCACACCTGGGGGAAGGATACTGCAAAATTTCCATTCCCTTCCCACTCCTGGGGGAAGGATATTGCAAAATCTCCATTCCCAACCCACACCTGGGGAAGGCTATTGCAAAATCCCCATTCCCTCCCCACTCCTAGGGGAAGACTACTGCAAAATCTCCCATTCCTTCCCCACTCTTGGGGGAAGGATATTGCAAAATGTCCATTTCCACCCCATCTTGGAGGGAAGGATATTGCAAAATTTCCATTCCCTCCCCACTCCTGGGGGAAGGATATTGCAAAATCCCCATTCCCACCCTACTCCTGGGGGAAGGATATTGCTCAGTTTACAGCCATTCATTTAGTGACCATTCAAAGTTACAAAGGCACTAAAAATGTGACTTATGACCGTTTTTCACAGTTATGACCTTGGCAGCATTTGACCATTTGATCACGCGATCAAAATTCAGATGCTTGGCAACGGATTCCTACTTATGACCGTTGCAGCATCCCGGAGTCATATGATCACTTTTTGCAACCAGCAAAGTCAATAGGGACGCCAGATTCACTTAACAACCGGGTTACTAACTTATCAACTGAGGTGATTCACTTAACAGCCCTGGCAAGAGATGGTCGTAAAATGGAGTGAAAATCACTTAACAAATTCTCACTTAACAACAGAAATGTTGGGGTCAATCGCAGTCTTAAGTCGAGGACCTTGCTTTTAAGAAGGGCAAGTACAGGTAGTCCTCGACTTACGACCCCTATTGAGCCCAAAATTTCTGTTGTTAAGTGAGACATTGGTTAAGTGAATTTTGCCCCATTTTATGATTTTTCTTGCCACCGTTGTTAAGTGAATCATTGCAGCTGGTAAGTGAGTAAACTGGCTGTTAAGTGAATCTCGCTTCCCGATTGACTTTGCTGGTCATAAGGTCGCAAAAGGGAGATCAATCACATGACCCCGGGACACAGCAACGGTCATAAGTATTTATTTATTTATTTATTTATTGGTGCGATTTATATGCCGCCCTTCTCCGGAGACTCAGGGCGGCTTACAATGCGTTAAGCAATAGCCTTCATACTTTTGTATATACCTGCTTAGTAGGGCTTTTGGCCCCCCCCAAGCGGTGTTCTTTTTTATACAAAGTCAGCTTATTGCCCCCACAATCCGGGTCCTCATTTTACCTACCTCGAAAGGATGGAAGGCTGAGTCAACCTTGAGCCTGGTGAGATTTGAACTTGCAGTAATTGCAGTCAGCTGGTGTTACTTAACAGTACTTTAGTCTGCTATGCCACCAAGGCTCCTGAATGAATTGCTTGCCAAGCATCCGAATTTTGATGACAATGATCATGGGGATGCTGCAAAGGTCATAAAACTAGGTATGAAAAATTGCCATAATTCACATTTTTCAGTGCTTTTGTAACTCTGAACAGTCACTAAATGAACTGTTGTAAATCGAGGACCAACTATACGTCAACCGATATCGGTCAGCAAAATTCAGGACTCCCTCTGAGACACTGGGAAGAGACCACAGTTGCAGTACAGTGCGAGCCTCAAAACTGGAGGACATTTTCCAGTGCTTTTGTAACTCTGAACAGTCACTAAACGAACTGTTGTAAATCGAGGACCAACTGTACGTCAACTGACATTAGTCTGCAAAATTCAGGACTCCCTCTGAGACAGTGGGAAGAGACCATGGGGGTGTGACACTTCTGAAATGGTGTGAGCCTCAAAACCGGAGGACATTTTTCAGTCCTATTGTTAACCCTGAACAGTCACTAAATGAATTGTTGTAAATCGAGGACCAACTGTACGTCAACCGACATCAGTCAACAAAATTCAGGACTCCCTCTGAGATAGTGGGAAGAGACCACGGGTGTGTGACACTTGTGAAACGGTGCAAGCCTCAAAACGGGAGGACATTTTTCAGTGCTATTGTTAACCCTGAACAGTCACTAAATGAATTGTTGTAATTCGAGGACCAACTGTACGTCAACTAATATCGGTCAGCAAAATTCAGGACTCCCTCTGAGACAGTGGGAAGAGACCACAGTTGCAGTACAGTGCGAGCCTCAAAACCGGAGGACATTTTTCGGTGCTTTTGTAACTCTGAATAGTCACTAAACGAACTGTTGTAAATCGAGGACCAACTGTACATCAACCGACATAGGTCAACAAAATTCAGGACTCACTCTGAAACAGTGGGAAGAGACCACAGTTGCAGTACAGTGCGAGCCTCAAAACTGGAGGATATTTTTCAGTGCTTTTGTAACTCTGAACAGTCACTAAACGAACTGTTGTAAATCGAGGACCAACTGTACGTCAACCGACATCGGTCAATAAAATTCAGGACTCCCTCTGAGACAGTGGGAAGAGACCACGGGAGTGTTACACTTGCGAAACGGTGCGAGCCTCAAAACGGGAGGACATTTTTCAGTGCTATTGTTAACCCTGAACAATCACTAAATGAATTGTTGTAAATCGAGGACCAACTATACGTCAACCGATATCGGTCCGCAAAATTCAGGACTCCCTCTGAGACAGTGGGAAGAGACCACAGTTGCAGTACAGTGCGAGCCTCAAAACCGGAGGACATTTTTCAGTGCTTTTGTAACTCTGAACAGTCACTAAACGAACTGTTGTAAATCGAGGACCAACTGTACGTCAACCGACATCGGTCCGCAAAATTCAGGACTCCCTCTGAGACAGTGGGAAGAGACCACGGGAGTGTTACACTTGTGAAACGGTGCGAGCCTCAAAACGGGAGGACATTTTTCAGTGCTATTGTTAACCCTGAACAGTCACTAAATGAATTGTTGTAAATCGAGGATCAACTATACGTCAACCGATATCGGTCCGCAAAATTCAGGACTCCCTCTGAGACAGTGGGAAGAGACCACAGTTGCAGTACAGTGCGAGCCTCAAAACCGGAGGACATTTTTCAGTGCTTTTGTAACTTTGAACAGTCACTAAACGAACTGTTGTAAATTGAGGACCAACTGTACGTCAACCGACATCGGTCAATAAAATTCAGGACTCCCTCTGAGACAGTGGGAAGAGACCACGGGAGTGTTACACTTGCGAAACGGTGCAAGCCTCAAAACGGGAGGACATTTTTCAGTGCTATTGTTAACCCTGAACAGTCACTAAATGAATTGTTGTAATTCGAGGACCAACTGTACGTCAACTAATATCGGTCAGCAAAATTCAGGACTCCCTCTGAGACAGTGGGAAGAGACCACAGTTGCAGTACAGTGCGAGCCTCAAAACCGGAGGACATTTTTCGGTGCTTTTGTAACTCTGAATAGTCACTAAACGAACTGTTGTAAATCGAGGACCAACTGTACATCAACCGACATAGGTCAACAAAATTCAGGACTCACTCTGAAACAGTGGGAAGAGACCACAGTTGCAGTACAGTGCGAGCCTCAAAACTGGAGGATATTTTTCAGTGCTTTTGTAACTCTGAACAGTCACTAAACGAACTGTTGTAAATCGAGGACCAACTGTACGTCAACCGACATCGGTCAATAAAATTCAGGACTCCCTCTGAGACAGTGGGAAGAGACCACGGGAGTGTTACACTTGCGAAACGGTGCGAGCCTCAAAACGGGAGGACATTTTTCAGTGCTATTGTTAACCCTGAACAATCACTAAATGAATTGTTGTAAATCGAGGACCAACTATACGTCAACCGATATCGGTCCGCAAAATTCAGGACTCCCTCTGAGACAGTGGGAAGAGACCACAGTTGCAGTACAGTGCGAGCCTCAAAACCGGAGGACATTTTTCAGTGCTTTTGTAACTCTGAACAGTCACTAAACGAACTGTTGTAAATCGAGGACCAACTGTACGTCAACCGACATCGGTCCGCAAAATTCAGGACTCCCTCTGAGACAGTGGGAAGAGACCACGGGAGTGTTACACTTGTGAAACGGTGCGAGCCTCAAAACGGGAGGACATTTTTCAGTGCTATTGTTAACCCTGAACAGTCACTAAATGAATTGTTGTAAATCGAGGACCAACTATACGTCAACCGATATCGGTCCGCAAAATTCAGGACTCCCTCTGAGACAGTGGGAAGAGACCACAGTTGCAGTACAGTGCGAGCCTCAAAACCGGAGGACATTTTTCAGTGCTTTTGTAACTTTGAACAGTCACTAAACGAACTGTTGTAAATTGAGGACCAACTGTACGTCAACCGACATCGGTCAATAAAATTCAGGACTCCCTCTGAGACAGTGGGAAGAGACCACGGGGGTGTGACACTTGCGAAACGGTGCGAGCCTCAAAACGGGAGGACATTTTTCAGTGCTATTGTTAACTCTGAACAGTCACTAAATGAATTGTTGTAAATCGAGGACCAACTATACGTCAACCGATATCGGTCCGCAAAATTCAGGACTCCCTCTGAGACAGTGGGAAGAGACCACAGTTGCAGTACAGTGCGAGCCTCAAAACCGGAGGACATTTTTCAGTGCTTTTGTAACTCTGAACAGTCACTAAACGAACTGTTGTAAATCGAGGACCAACTGTACGTCAACCGACATCAGTCCGCAAAATTCAGGACTCCCTCTGAGACAGTGGGAAGAGACCACGGGAGTGTTACACTTGTGAAACGGTGCGAGCCTCAAAACGGGAGGACATTTTTCAGTGCTATT